GTGTGCGGGGGGGGGGGGGTGTCACTGATGCACACTGCTTTGGCACACCCAATCCATAATCTGTACGCTTCATTTTGTAGTAGTCGAAACGCTACTAGGATTCAGAGGTCGTGTCATTTCTGGCGTTTATGCGGGGCGTTCAGGAGTGCCTCACCCACCGACGGACCGTACCGCGGGCGACGCCGTGCAACTTGGTTCTCTTGGGCACCACGGGTATCGGCAAGACGACTCTGCTCCAGCAGTTCATCACGGGGACGTTCCGCCTCAACCATATGCCGACAACACTTGAGACGATGCTGCACCACGACGAGGTTGACGATGATGTGTACATACTACACCTCTGTGACTGCTCCGGCAGTGACGAGTTTAAAGGCCACCGCGCGCCGTACATCGCACAGGCTGATGGTGTGATCCTCACATATGCCATCGATAAGAAGGCGTCACTGTTGCGCCTTGTTCAATACGCGCGGGAGGTGCAGCACGCACGCAAGCGTTATGGCGTGAAGGTGAGCGTCCCGCTGCTGGTAGTTGGCACGTGCGCTGACAAAGCGGAGCGGCGCGAGGTGCCGCTTGAAGCGGCGGAGCGCATCGCGGCGGAGTGCATGTCGCAGCTCGACGTGAGGCTGGCGAGGCGCCAGAAGAAGTGCGATGCCGACGCACCCACGCTGCCGTGCGGTGTGTCAACTACACACCCGGTGCTGGAGGTCGCGTGCACTAGACGTGACGATGTGGTGCGGGCCATGCATGTGATGGTGCGAGGGGTGCGGCAACACCGTGCAACATCGCGCCTCCCCACTGCCGCTGCCATCTACCCGGTGCCGAAGCCTCGCCCCCCACCGTTGTTGATGCCCCTCACTCTCCCGATTGTGGAGAGCATCCCCGATGACGCCTCTGCGGAAGATGACACAACGCCAACGATCGTCTCTTTTCTCCCACAGATGTTGCTGCAGCGCTCGTCGGAGCTGAAGGTGGTGAACGAAATAGAAGAGGGCACTGCCTCTACGAAGAGCGTCGGCGTGACGCACAGCATTGACTCTGCTTCAGAAGACGAAGAGGAAGAAGTGGAGGTGGTAGGACGGTGTAGCAGAGTATTTCTAAGGAACATTGCGAAGAACCGCGAAGAGAATGAGAAGCAGAAGAATAGAGATCAAGAGCAAAATAATGAACCATATCAAGAACAACTGCACGAAAACGAGCACGTGCAGCAAGAACAATGCCAATCGCGACAACAGCAACGAGGCCAAGGGTCAGAGCGGGATGCTGAGATCACCAGTTTATCAGCATGGACAATATTAGACGCACCGGATCATACACCTAGTGAAGGGCGGCAACCAGACGCATGCCTGGTGGGGATCCTGCGCGGGAGGAATGAAGTAAAGCAGGCATGTGACGTTGAACACTGTCCCACCTGCCACCTCATGTAGCGCAACAACCCTTCGCGCCGTATATGCTGTTTTTTAGTTGCAGGGTTTAGTTTCCCCCCCCACCTTTTTGCAGTTGCTTAAATGGAATAGAAAAACATCACCAAAAACTCCCCCCCCCC